ATGGCATAAAATTAACAGTTATTTCTTTCAGTGTCACTTTAGAAGATTGATCCATTATGCTTACTAGGACTTTGTTGTAAATGATTATTGGTTAATAGAAAAAAATCCTTAATATCCCCCTATAATCAAATTTCGTTGTAGAAACCCATCGTCTCAAGCCACGGTCCACGATCCGAAGTCTGTGTATAACTCTCTCCTTCCCATGGCTGCTTGCATGATCTCAAAAAGTGTCAATCTTGAATATTTACACCTCTCTATTTTGGCATCATATTCAGTCAATGACAAGTTTTGTTTCCATCGCAATTGGAATAAACAATTTACATCAGCAGTATTCTACACTGCGATTGAGTATTGAAAGGTTAATTGCCATCAAAGTTCATTATCTGACTATGATTTACTCACATTGGTCAATACTTTAATTAATGAGCTACGAAATACTCTCCTCTCAATCAACCATGGCCAGAATGGGAGAGGATCATACATTTTGGGTGTGATTTGCGACGATGGTAATACCCTACATTTACTTTTGAGATTAGTATGACATGTTATTTAAGTCAAAAAATGAAATCAATTTACCGTATTAGTGGAAATTTTAGGGAGACACAAATTTAGCGATTTCTACTCAAAATCTGGTATGGTATTTTATTTTTAGCGAGAAGAAATTTTAGCGATTTTAAAATGCTAACTAAAGAAGCTATTACAAATAATACACAATTACATGTAATTATTAACGATTGTCGATATTCAATTTTAGCAATGTCAGCACCCTCACTAATAATGCCAAAATTAAATCCTCGCTAAAAATTCTATTTAGTACCATATTTCATTATTGACCTCATTTACATGTATTGCTGAAAATGCACCAAATATTATAAGTGTAGTGAACATATGTTATCATCTCTGAAAGTATTTTGGATCAGATTTTGTACTTCAGAGGAAATGATTTTGATCCTACACTATCTGACTGTCACTGCTTATTACATTGGGAAATGTCTGCCAGTTTTACAAAACTAGTAGAAAATAATCAAAATGTGTGTAAGATGCAATTTATTAATCCACTTTTTATATGGCCAGAAGACTCAGCATTTAAATTTCAAGAAGCTTTAACCTCTGTAGACATACAAAAAGAGCTGTCTGATTTGGCAAATTTGGAGGTTCAGAACTCATTATCCTCTGTAAATACTGCTGTAGACAAACTCCAGACTATTATTATTAATGCTGCCACTAGATCCTTGAAAAGAAATAAAACTAAAGCAGAAAAAAATAAAACTAAAGCAGCACAAAGAAATAAAAATAAGAAGTGGTTTGATGGAGATCTAAAACACACAAAAAATAAATTAATTAATATTGCTAGAGTTATGTCTCAATTCCCAAAAGATCCAATTATTAGAGGCAGATTTTTTAAACTCAGAAAACAGTATGCGAAATTATGTAAACACAAACGAATACAATATCAGCAGTCCCTCATTGCAAGGCTTGATGCTTTAAATGAGGATAATCCCAAACTTTACTGGAACCTTGTGAACCATCTTCTTGACAAAAATAATGCAGTAGATACAACTATTCATCCTGATAGATGGCTGGATCATTTTACAAAATTAAATGAAGTGAGAGAGTCATATTTTGACAGGCTAAATGAATTGAAAACGAAAATTTCTCAAATGGAAAATAAACAATGTTTTAACGAATTAGACTATACAATAAGTTCTTCAGAAATAGCAGAGGCAATTTCTTGTATTAAATATGATAAATCTCCTGGACTAGACAACATTTCCAATCATATGATTAAATATGGTCACAATGCTCTACTACCATCTTTAAGAAATATTTTCAATGCTTGCTTATCACATGGACTTTATCCCAAATCATGGGCCGAGGGATACATTACTGTTCTGCATAAGTCAGGGGATATCAATAATCCAAACAATTATCGTGGCATTACCATCACTAGTGCAATTGGTAAATTATTTAACAGTATTTTGAATAAAAGACTTGATAAATATCTAGAAAAAAACAAAATTATTAATGATTGTCAAATTGGTTTCTGTAAAAAGGCAAGAACATCTGATCACATGTTTATTTTAAGAACTTTATTTGAAACATATTGCTCTCAGAAAGAAGGACGACTCTTATGCATGTTTCATTGACTTTAGAAAAGCATTTGACACAGTAATACATGAAGGCATCAAAATTAAACTGCTAGAAATTGGGGTTGGATCTAAATTTTACAATGTAATTAAGAGTATGTACAATTGTAGTAGATCATGCATTAAGTTAAACAATCAAATCACTGAGACTTTCCCTATTAAGTTAGGAGTTAAACAGGGAGACAATTTAAGTCCAAATTTATTCAAAATTTTTATCAATAATCTTCCAGAATACTTCAATAATATAACTGATGATAATATTCAGTTACACGATAAATTACTTCATTGTCTAATGTATGCAGATGATATAGTTTTATTGTCCAAGTCATCAAAAGGACTTCAACAAAAACTTAATTGTCTTGATAAGTTCTGTACTGACTGGTGCCTTGATGTAAATGTTTCAAAAACCAAAGTATTAATCTTTAATATTAAGCAGGTAGACTCTTGAAAGAAAACTTCACACTAAACAAAGAACCTCTTGAATGTGTTACTTCTTATAAATACTTGGGCATACATTTCACTGCATCTGGAAGTTTTACACTTGCTTAGGATGAACTTTACAAAAAAAGCTTCAAAGGCACTTTTTAAATTACAAAAAAAATTCCTATCATTGAACCCTAAAATAAACACAGCTTTACATGTATATGATCATACAATAAAACCCATATTACTTTACGGTAGTAAAATTTGGGGGGGCCTCAACATTCTATGGCACGATTTAGAAATGGACCCATTGCACTGGATGAATTATTTTCTAAGTCACTTTGTGAGAAATTACATTACAAGTTTTGTAGATTTTTACTAGGTGTAAATAACAAAAGTACAAAATTTGCAGTCCTTTCAGAATTAGATAGACACCCTATGAATTTCAGTATTGTTCAGAATATATTGAATTTCTGGCATAGGTTAGAGAATTTGGATGACATATATCCTCCATTAAAAGCTGCCTATACTGCCTCAGTATCCAATTTCAATAAAAACAAATTATTATGGTTTGGTTCTATTGATATGTTTAAACAACTTCTTCCTCAGTTAACACCTCATCTGAAATCATCTACATCAACATTTAAATATCATTGTAAATGCATTCTAAATTCATATTTTCTTGAAAAATGGTATCAAAAGAAGGAAGAATTAAGTAATTGTGGGAAATTGGACACCTATTGCACAATTAAACAGAACTTTGGACTAGAACCTTATTTATTAATTTTAAGAAAGTTTGAAAAAAGAAAGATTCTAACAAAATTTAGAATATCTTCTCACAATCTGATGATTGAAAAAGGTAGACATTACGGTATTCCAAGAGAAGAGAGAATATGCCCCAATTGTAAAATAGAAGAGATAGAAGATGAAGTACATTTTCTTTTAAGTTGTCCATGCCATAGTCAATCAAGAATAAATTTACTATCCATGATATCTATGAGGTGTCATCTTTTAAAAGCTTGTCAAAAAATGACCAATTTTTATGGTTAATGAACTGTGAAGATGTTGATGTGCTGTTCAAATTGTGTGAATTCATAATCATGTATAGTTTGACAAATTCAAAATCATTTGAAGTACCTTAGTTGGATAATTATGCTACACTATGTAAAGGTGTTGTTGATATGTGTGTTGTATTATATACTCTACATTGAACAGAAGTGGATAACTTTAATACATGTATAATAACTATCTACTATCCTTCAGCACTGACTCTTGCTGTCCATTGTAGTTTGATTTAATTAACACATGTGTCAATGTATAATTATTTATATAATATGTGTTTATTTCCATAAATTTTATGTCTGTTTATTCTACATGAGGCAGAAGTGGAATTCTGTATATCCTTTAGCACCGACTCTTGCTGCCTCCTGTTGATGTTTCAAACATAGTTTTATGTGTATTGATATGTATATATTTACATATATATGTATATCATGAATAATACTTATGCACATTTTTTTTTTTTTTTTTTTTTGTACAACAACCCGTCATGTGTATGTCTATATATGAAACTTAAAAATGCCACCAACATATATATCAGTATATATATATATACTTAATAGAAGAATTGCTCTTCACCACATGTTGTATTCTGTCTATTACTTTATTATGTTTATATGTAATTATATATGTTATATGTTTATGCCTAATGGGCCCTGATTGGTAATAAATTCTATTCTATTCTATTCTATTGTAAAGAGCCTACAAACACATAATTATAAGTATACATTCAAGTTTTTATCTTGAACACAAGATGTCTTCCTTATACAACATGTATATCATGTATATACAGAAGATTTGTGTATGGATATAATGAAGCTTGGTTGTAATAATGTGAGAAGTAGCAGCAGGAGAAATTCTCAGTAAGCCTTTTACTATTTACAAACCTGGATTGAACTTTTCAAAATGTCTAGACTTGATGCTATTTGATTTGTTGAATATCAGATTACTTGCACATTTGTTAATAGACTTAAATGTAAAATTGAAGCAAAATCTTCGAAATATTTTGCTAAGATTGAAACTGTTCCAGGAGATTACATTACCTGATTATTGGTGTGAAAATCTGCAAGTTTTAATAATTATAAATACATGAATTTTACAACAATATAGATGTAGGTTTTCAGGATATTGTTTTCTTAGCATGGAAGTGCCTTAAAATGACTACATGTACAGTGAAAACTGTCTAGTCTGACACTTGGACAATCTGTTTCCCTGTGAATTCTGAACTTCATTTTGATTCCCATTTGACTTTCTGTTTAAATATTTTCACACTGTGTAATCTGATACCCTGTGTATTCCCCCATCAAAAAAAAGTCTCTCCTTGCATGTGGAATAAGAGAGGCTTTACTGTATTTTGATTTTTTTTTGCAGGCTCTTGTCACATGTAGATGACCCTACCCTGGATGATGGCACCCCCAGGGAATATGTCCTCTATCTGTGTCCTAACGGTAAAATGCAGGACGAACTCAACAAATTCTGGGAGAAGAGCCTCACCCACTGTGGATGGAACGGGGCGCATTCCTACTTCCCTCACATTACCATGTGTCCATTCTTCACAGTGAGTTCAGTGGATCAAATTTTACAGGCTTATAGTTTAAAGAATGTATAGAAAAATATTCTATAAGTAATCAGACAGGATTTTTTTATGGCAAATTTGGTATAACTTGCCATTTTGGGATTCAATTATTTGAGATCTTGAAAAAGACACCTTTGCAGCTCTGCTGTCTTTGAATGCATAAGAGAATTTTCTATACAAGAAATATCTTTTGATTCAGTAAAACTTTGTATCAAGGTTGATTTTTAAGAAATTTTTAGGTTGATGACAAAGATGTAGGATTTTTGAGTGAGAGCTTTGTAAAGCTAGAGAACAAACTAGGCCCAGATACTCTGAAGCTCGATTTCTTTAGTCAGATGAATTTTATTGGATTATTTGTGAAGGATACCATGTATGAATTCCTAAAATGTTCTCAATGTTCAGCAAAGAATTAGCCAAAGGAGGTAATACACTGATGTATTAAACATTGCTACATTTAATAAAAAATACAGTCAAACCTGTCATAGCAACCACCTGTGTTTTATGACTTCCTGTCATAAATGTATGGGGCCTTTAAATTTCCCTCCAAGATTTTCTATCAATATTGAACTGATTTAGTTGTCTCCCTGTCCTACATGACATATAACCCTCAGTTTCAACCCTCGATCAATTTCTAACCTAAAAATAAGTGACTTTCAGCCTTGCTTGTCACGTGACCATTTTAGAACCTGCATTGATGGGTATCTAAAACAGGTTTGACTGTTGCCAGGTTACATTGTATGCTTGCTCAAGAGTCCAGGACAGTTTATAATTACTGAGACACTTCATGTAAATGTATTTCTGTTTATAACTGAAATACATCATTTACTGGCACATAAAAGCAGGAACACCACTTTTATATTGATAAATGCATTTAGATAGTTGAAGTGGTTATATATAGTAAATACTTGTAGTATTTTTGTATGCTGAGTAAATAGCTGGTACCAAAATACAGAGGAAAACCTGGTGATAAAAAAATTAAACATTTCCAGTTAGAAAGTAGGAAAATGACAAGTTGCACTTTTATGAATTTTTATGTAAATATGTGAAAATTGGTACAAAAAATTGCTTTTGCGATAAGATTTTTGTATACTTTCTAAACATCGAGGGGTGTTAGAAAAAATTCGCGGACAAGTTTATTGTGAGCGCGCTATTTCCACGAAAACCCGGTCAAACTTTGCAGATAAAATCTTTACCTTTTCTCCAATTAATATACAAGAATTTGGTGCTCTCCGATGATTATTGAAAAATATACAGCTTTTTCTTTTTGATAAATCTTGCTTCACGGAGCATGCTACATTTTGGCACGTTTACATCACAAAGACTCTTCATTAAAATTAAAAATTGCACAATTGTACCGCAAAGAGTTTTCTGATATTTTACCTGCCGCTATAGTATTCATGAAACGTCACTGGGAGAAATTTTGAACTAAATTGGAGGGTATATGACTGTTTTATAGCCGTTTTTAACTGATCAACGTTTGAAAAACACAGCCAAAAATCGGAACGTCATTTAGCGTCATGGAGCACTGCACTATGTAAAAATTATGTATGCAGACTGGAAAATGTCTAAAAAGAGATTAAAATGTTCAGATGCTGCCGGGAATATCCTACACCTACAAAGGACAAGTTTTCAAATGGTTGTAGCTTCATAAGAATGGAAGGATTAACATTTTAAATGATTACCTCCATCGATACTTCAATACCCCCGTATCGCATGGACGTTGCGTTGCGCCTATATGGTTTTGCATAGTTTCCATACCTGATCGATTAACTGCATAGACTTTTTTAAAGATCTCAATAATATCCGAATCAGTACAAAAGACATTATATAAAAGAAAAGTAATATGTCTTGATATAGATATTCAATTTTAAAGTAGAAAATAGATAAGAAAAATCTGAAGAAATGAAAGATTTATAGAACACTGCGACAAAACTTACCGGTTGAAATTGGTTGTCACGGGTTGAAATCTGGTTGTCACGTCGCCTTTCAAGTGATTGCTCCGTGAATCCCATGACCTCATAGTAAAAATCGTTGTAAATTTTCAAGATTTTATTATATGAACCTGATTTTTTACATACCAATAAACAAAATGTAGAAATTTATTCAGACATAGGTCATACTTCACAGTACAAAATAGATTTTCCGTAATTCAAAGTGTCCGCGAACTTTTCTAACGACCCTCGTATATGAAGATTAAAGGCAGAGCATCTTCTCTCAAATAACACATTATTGCTTGTGAAACTTCCATTATGCATTCACTTACTCACCCACCCACACACAAACACACTTTTATATTCCTTTCAACTTCAGTGCAGAGTGATAAAAAAATCTTCCTGGAATATATGCAATAGATTGGTCCTGTAGATAATTTGTTATAAAAATTGTCAATAACTGGTAAAGACAGATGTTTCCCTTGTTAGTACCTAATCATAGCTTGGTTGAGAGAAATAAATTATTCTGAGTAATCTTTGATGTACTAAAATTAGGTACCCTTAAATTATATAAGATGCTTAAATACTGACTGCTGAAAATTACGTAAACTGACAGAAGAAGTGTTTTCACTTGAAAAGATACACATTCTCAAGATATACAGTTAGACCTTGTTATATCAATAGGATGAACATGAAACTGTATATTAATACTTAATTTCAAATTCATCTTTGTATAAATCAAGCAAAGCTATTTACCAGACTAACATTATAATTGTATCATTCATAGATTTAATATTTATTTTTGAAGTCATCGAAACAATTTAAAATAAAATTCATTTTTCTTTTAAGGGGTCAAAGTTGAGCCCCACAAGAAACAGCTTCACTTGACCCTGGCATACCAGTACCCACCAGAACAGCACGACAAGCTCCTGAAATACGCCAAAGAAATAGACCTGGGGGTGGACGTTAGATGGGACCTCAGACTGTATTCCAGGGATCCCAGGGCGGGCAGAAGTGAGGTATTTATATACTCTAAATGGTGCCATTTTCAAACTCTTAGGAGGTCAGTTTTGGATCTTGTGCTCAAGGTTCAAGGTAAACTTTCCAAAAATGCAGGTCAAGGTCATGTTGTTTTTTTTGCTCACCTGAGCTGAAACTCAAGTG